CTTCAGAAGCGGATTTTAGGTGGATTTACCCTCGGCGAAAGATATTTCATATCCTTGTAGAGGGAGCTCCGAAACAGTGGCAAGTTAAGGAGATCCTAGGTAATCCAAGGACATCCCAAGGCATTTAAATAATTTTTCTATCCCAGTTCCTAGGCAATCCAAGTAAATCCGAGAAAATCCAATCCAATCCAAGAACATCTGGCAGTACGTTTATTTCGCCACTATATTCCATTGTGATAGTACACTTGTTTGAAAGTTTGAGTAAAATCCAAGTGGTATCTTCCAAGTTATACTTGGGCGAAGGATTAGCAGATAGACTAAAAGGCCGACAGGCAGACAGAAAGACATACCGGCGAAAATTAGTGACATTGTTTTTTTGTGATGTTAATATCATACAACATCCAAAAAACATAATATCTTATTTTAAATATTTTCGCGATTACAATACATCCTCGCCAGTGTCGTGACGTAAATTACCTTTTTACAAAATGCAGACGAAAACAACCAAGCGAGGTCCAAGTACCTGGGGGACAGTAGGTCGGGTGACAAATACCCGGTGGCGACCCCTAATCAACTGAAAATTTTCCCGTTATTAACACGTCATTGGAGGGCCGTTCCCTCGAAACAGGATATTAGCTCGGTAATAACGTGGTCGAGCGAGCGGTCTGCTTGGCCAGTTCCAAATGGAACAATATATATTAGATATCGCTAATACGAATCTCACCGATTCCATGGCACATTGCTTTATACGGTGATCTATTGGCTCTATTGTGTCCACCGAAAGGTCGACATGCATGTTGGTTTCCCGCATAATAGTTTGGCTCTGAATTTGGCTGTAATACCATCGCTTTTGAAACTCATCCTTTGCTTGTTTACTTGATCAAGTAGAATTCAATACACTAGTAGTTATATAATCTAGCACTAGCAACTGCCACAGGTTTGAGGGTAATATTGGCAACATTTGAAACGTACTCCATCACTTTCACGACGAGTTTAATTATTTTTTTTACGTGAGAATCTGTTATCTGTTAACTAGTTTTCAGCCACAATACTTTTAGTCAGTCAGTATGTCGGATTGGGATACTTTTAACCAAGAATAATTACTTTTTTAATAGCTGAAATAAATTGTTTACATTGATTTTTATTAAATGTCTAACATCAGAGACAAAAGGGTGTTTTCTTTACAACTGACAGTATCCAGCTTTCATGGCAGATGTGGATTAACATCCTCTATTTTTGGCAGCAAAACCAGATTTAGATAAAGGTGTCCTGTAGCAAAATCATTGTATGGAGAAAATTGACTTTAAGCATTTTATTGGGACTTTTTACTTTATTGACACTTTAAATATTTAGTTTAATTAGTTTGTTATTATCTTGAACTTGCAGCAAAGTGATCACAAAATGAAAGAATCACTCTTCAAGGTCAGTTAAATGCGAAAAAGCAATCTTTAAAAAATATTACATAACACCTTTATCCACTTTTGCCTTCAGTCACACTCCAAAGCTACTGATAGGTAACAAACTTAAAGTTACAAAATATTGAAAGTATTAACGTTCAAAGAGCATATCGATGGATACTAACATGTTATTTATGTTTTGAATAAGTAATTACATTACGTCATAAATTACACTATCGGTGTCTGAGTAAATGAGATCGTTCAGCAAACGTAAAGCGGTCCAGCGGCGCAGCGCTTTTATGTTGAATAGCAAAAGACACAGCAGTAGCTATGGGATAGATTTGTCAGTTTGATAGCACCTTTCACTCGGTTATCAGGTTTGGTAGAATGTTGATGTTGGGTCAACTGTCAAAGATATTCCACGACTACTGCTATTCACGTTAAATTGGCTAATCGATCGCGATGAGACACACAGAGTACAATCCTGAGCACAGATTAATTTCATTGATATTCAGCGTAAGATGAATTGTTCATTTGGAAATATCAAGCGTGTGAAGTCCTGAGAAAACAAACTCGAATTGGAAAAATGTTTCATGATGTTCAACAACACACAAATTCTCATCGGTCGTTTGTTCCGAATGTCTGTCTCTTAGGCCCGTATCGTCAGTCGTTCCTACAATTGTAGGGGTTTATGGCCTCCTTGATTGTCATACTCCTTTCTCTCCTAAAATTTCTAGATTGCACCTGTCCCGTGTCAGCGTCAGTTTCTCCTATTGTGAAGATATCTTTTCTTTTTAAATTGTAGGAAATTTCAGGCTGATAAAACATGATATAACTCAAAAATAAGCACAATTTAATGCAAATAGATATTTGTGACATAACCTCAAAATAGAGCGCTGACACGGAAAAGTAGAAAACTATGACAATAAAGGAGGCCATAAAGGCGCCCTACAATTGTAAGGACGACTGACGATACGGGCCTAGGGCCGATTTCACCAACATTAGTATTATGGACCAATGGGAAAATACCTTATCGAAATGCAATTTGACAAAAGCTGCCAAAGGTCTCTGAATATTAGTGATTTCTATTTAACTATTGACTAAAATCGTGAAAATTTGACTGTATTATAAACAAGACCACTTTTTGATTCCAACATGATGCTTTTGTACAGAAAAAGCAGGTCAACTTTCATGTATTTTGATATATGTTACAGGTTTACATTTAACAATCCGTTATCCCCCTCAGAGAATGGGAATGCGGCAAATAATAGGTCGATTTTCTAGCTGTTAAATTTGGCAGCAGAGTTGAACGTTTGTTAATGCATGGCACTCTTGAATATACCAACTTCAATATACTGAAAGTTATCATTACATACCTGTTGAATAGTCTGTCGTGTGACAGCAGAACCTAGTAAGTCACTTTTTATCAGGTTTGAGAAATAACATATTTTCAATAAACATTCGGCTTTCGAAAAGTTTAAGTTTTATGAATATTAAAAAAATTGTCTGAAGGGTTATGTAACTTGCTAAATTCGATAGCATCAATTTTATTCATGTGATAGTTTTGTTTATGGTAGAAAAGTGACTTACGTTTTTTTTTTCATGGTTTCTTTTTCGATATTAAATTAAGATACTTTAGCAGAAAATGGTAAGTCAACTTACTGATTTTTACAAAATTTCGACTAGAGAAAATAAAAAAAAAAGATATTGTAAGTGTACTTACTAAGGTTTTATTTGATATAATTTATGTGCGAAGGCGAACACAAAAAGTAACATATCTACTTACTAACTGGAAAATAAACATTTGAATGAAAAACGGTGGAACATAAAACAGCAAGTCTACATACAAGAAGAACAAGAACTTAAGCGCTAAGCCTCTGATACCACACATAAGTCTTTGGAATTATCATTAGATGGCAAAAACTGCCAAAATAGTTTCTTTCTTTCATCTTTGAAGGATGGTACCAATTTTTTTAAAATTATTTCTCTTTTTTCTGAGTTCAATCCCAGTGGCTCGACAAAAGGATGTATAGGGAATTTGAGATCAACTTTTTTTTTCAAAAACTCGACTTCCTGAAAGACAGTTTCATTATGGCATTCTTTATAAAACAAGTGTCTGCATCCTTTGCGAAACTGAGCGAGCATAATTTTTTCAAGAAGAGGTATATTATTGCTTTTTCTTTGTTTGCTTCCATCTTCAAAGAGGAAAAAATCAAAATTATTTATAGGCAAACATTTAGTTTTTTTTGAGGACTGCTCAATTATTTTCAGAAGCTGTTCAAAATCATAAATGTTTGGGTGTTTTTTCATTTCTGTGCTGATTCGGCCATGAACCGAATCCGCAGCCATAAATGAATGGCCTGGTTCAAAATATTTTAGGGTGATCTCTTCTGGACCCCATTCACAATTTACAAAAGTCGCAAAAGCAGAATATAGTGTCCAGTTCTTGTTCTGAGCAGAACAGTTGTCTACCCAGAATGTAAATTTTTTGGTAACATTGTCTGAATTTTTTATTACGTTGTAGTAAGCCGATGCAACATCCGTCGCGGACCTGCCTCTTATAGCCTCATGCCACATCACGCAAATATTTCCGTCCTTATGAAGTGACGCAAACGTCTCATTGAATACGACCAACCTGCAACAACAAATATAGAAGTATATAAAAGTTTAATACAATTATATATAATTATAAACGAAATACCTTGAAACAAAAAAAGATTCCTTGGTTGACATTTTGGGCAAGAGTAAGACTTTCTGCATATCTACAGCATAGACCTTCTCATCTTGCATTACCTCTTGATTGGAGTCATTTTCATAGTGCTGTCTTGCTTCCGTATAACTTTTTTTGTGGTTTTCGAATTGACAACAAATCTTGCAACTACTTGCGTCGCATTGGCGAATAATGTGAACTTTATGTTTTAGACACTGAGCGCATTCGTCTTGGGATGGCTTTTTAAACCCAATATTCTGTTTTTCAAAAATTCTTCTGTATAGATCATATGAAATTTTCTGTAGATTACAGAAGTCTTGCCACATGTATTTAATGGTCAAGTCAGGTGGCAAGAATCGTCTATTCGGGGTGTGCTTTGAATTATAGTGAGATACTACCGGATTGAATGAGTTTATATGCTTTATGACAATTTCCTCTGTTCTCATTTTTTGTTCTTCTAGCATGCCTCTAATAACTAACCCCCTTTCATCCACTGTTTGTGCAATTCCTTCTACACTTCGCTTTTTGGAATGTATATGGCAAGTTATCATACCATCTGTTTTAAGTCCTAAAGTATGCAAAAACATTGTTTTGCACACTTGTATTTTTTCAAATTTAGCTTCAGTTTCCACTGGAAGGGGTAGAAAATATTTCAGAGAAACATTCCTGGAAGAGCGCTGAGCCTCTTGCCGCCTTACTTTGATTTCAAATTGTTTGATATGAGCATCCAAAAAAAGTCTACGCTCGCCAAAGCTGAGTCTCCAGAATTTCGTTCTTATCAATTCTCTAAAGTTCTCATCATTGATTTTTGAGCTACATTTCTGCCTGCAATTATTATGGCATGATAGCAGTAGGGGGTGCTTTTCTTGCTTGTCTGGCCTTTCTTGGGAAACTCTGCAGTTTGCATTCACATTCTCGTTGACTTTTTTCAAAGGCTGCCTGTTTTTGAGGGGCGCAAGCGATACGTCATCAAAGTCCGAAAATTTCATTTTTTTCCTTCTAGGGGATACTGACGGCTCATAATTTGGGTCTGCATCAGAATCGTCATAATCTGATATAGGTTCTTCATCATGTTGCTGACGCTCTTCGAGAGGTTCATTTCTGAAAGATAAAATAAATAGAGGTCAGCGGTTTGAATATATATTTCAAATACGAAAACCGTATTGCAAGAATTAGCTTTTTGTTTGTAGTAATTATAATCTTTTATTTTACTGAAAAAAAACATCAAACTGCAATGTTACTCCTGAGTTAATATTTCATTTGGCTTATATGTAATGTATGATGCTTGCACTCACCTCTCTGTAATGCATAAACTCGTTATGAATTTTCCTCTCGACATATTCTGGATATTAACTACAGTACTAACGTTAAACTAATTCGCGACTGTCCTCACCGATCCACACTCTATGCCAGTTGGAACATGACTGCGGAAACGCTGTAGCATGCATCCGTGCCTACACTCAATCGGCTTGAAATCATGGCATGAAAATTTAGCAAAAACTAGCAAGTGCGTTTACGACGGAGTCTCCCGCCAAATTTCCTACAAAAAAAAATCTTCAAAACGTAGCATGTAGACATGCCATCATTTGTTGATTTTTTAAATGCTGTTCTGATGACTTACTAGGAAACATGAGACAAAGATATACGATTTAGAGTGCGTCTGAGCGAGAGAAAAAAATTCAACTAGTAGAACTTTTTACGGGCTTTTCAAAAATGACGTAAAAATGTAAAACCTAGTAAGTCGACTTACTAGGTTCTGCTGTCACACGACAGTAGTGTGGATTTATCTGTATTTTGCAAGAAAATAGAATATAAAATACATTCCATCCAATTCCTCATCTTCCTTTACGTCATAATAGTAATCATTTATTAACTCATGGGTTAATGAATTTATTCAAATCAATAAAAACATTATGTCCTCTCCATCCTAAAACACAGATAATATGTGTAAGACGTGTCAATCCCTACATCTCTCTGATGCAATTACTATGGACATAGACAAAAAATTATAATGTTTCACAAATAATGTCTCTTTAGTCCAAAAAACCATAAAAACTAGTAATGTTTTTCTGTTTGACTGGCAGGGACATCTATCTGTCACTCGCAGGGTTGCCAAGTCTAACGACGATCACGTCTCGTGGTGGAGGGTGCGAAATGACTCTTTTACATTTGCTGGTTTTGAATTGTTTTAGTGAAAATTTACTAGGTATCTTGATTATAAGCATTTTTGGTAGATTATTCGATCCAGAATGGGAAAGATCTCCTATTTATGAAAATATTTTTGGTATCATCTAACCGTTGCAATCAGTGCACAAACACTGTGACATATGATTTATACCATAACCCGCTGCCCTATCAATACAAATTTAACATACAGGTCGCCTAGCCGTGGGGATGCAGTGGTCGGGATGAATATCACGGCAGCAACTGATGATTTGGGCATGTCTGGTAACAACGTATGAAGTGAAACTCGCTAACTTCACAAATTTGAAAATTTTGTACAATTTCTTTGAAAATGATGAAAGATATGTCTGATTTGGCAGGGTAATGTCGCAGCCAAGTGGCAGTCACCCTTTCTGACACATTTCGGATCGAAAGATGACGATACTCGTGAAATGTATTAATACTTCTAAGTATAGGATCGTATCGAACATCCCTAGGTACCCAAGGTACCGACGGAGCTATTTTGCGGCGTTATGGAAATAATTTTAAATTTTCATTTGCATTTTTTCAAGTGTTGTGCAATGATTTTGGGAAAAATGTCACGAATAGTTTTATAAAGCATAGTAGAGTATATTTCAACAGTTGGCGGAACATACTCCACTGGAACCAGGAGGGTGAAACGGGATATTAATGCACAATCTGGTAACCCTGTCTCACCCTCACAAAATGGCCGCTGACAAACACAAAACACCGTGTGGTCATTGATTAGCATGGAATTAAACCTTCAGAGTATATGTTTTGTGACTGGTACCAAGAGTTGACACATCCCACACATGTGTCACTCCATGAAATGCAATAATCAGCACTATTCAAATAATGTCTAATATAAATATATCGTAGAATGTGTACTCGTGAAAAAAGAAAAATATGGCAAATTTGTAGTTTTTTTTGCAAGTTTTAGGTTTGCTGTTAGCTTTAAGGCATATATTTGGGAATTTCTTAATCGCTGTGAATATAGTGTGGATGTTTGTTCAGTCCCTAAACAACGAAAAATATTCAACTTTATGGATGTATGGATATCAACAAACCTGAATGGTTTTGTGGGAATATCAATCTAAGGTGCCATAATGGTTCTGATGAACGGCAAGTAAATGAATGAATGTTTGGAAACGAGCAATATCTTTTGGTAGAGCCTGTCATCAAGTAGGTGCTTAATGGCTTAATCTGCAAGAGGTTTATAGGAAAAAACACCCAGTATCACATATCAATTGAAGAAAATAGCATAAACATGAACAAAAAATCAACAATAGTAATTAAAACATGAATTTAATTCAAAAATCAAACGTTTCTTAAAATTTTGACTGAATATATGTAATTTCTTAATATTCAATAAGCTGGTGATGTTTCAATGACAAGTTGTCATCTCATACTTCGACAGTATTTTGTTTTCAACATTTCATAGCTATTGTTTGCTAATATTTTTTGATTGGAACTTGAAGCTCATTCGCTGAATCTGACGGTCTGTTACCCTATAGGTTGAGAATAACGGACTATTCTTGGTGAGATTGGCCCTTAGTCTTTCAAATTACGTTTAGTTCCAGGAACAACTGCAGAGTGCAGGGATAAAATAAAAAACCCTAGTCCTGATTTAAATATGCATTGCTGGCAAAGTAACTAGCAAAACAACAATTGAAAATGTTCTCAAACCTGTGATAGAAATCTATAAAAAATGTCATGATTCGTTTAGCGTTAGCCTTGTTCCATGCCGCTGTCGTTTTTTCAGTTAAATTGGCTGGACATGACTCGTGAATGAACGATGTTCCCAGTTGATATTTAGCCGGTAAAGTGGTTAACGAAAACAAAAGATTGCCAGAACTGTGGAAGAGCGTAGCAGCGATGAATAATTCGTTTATATTATTACCATAAACAAGTAGCGGACCGGCAGCGCTCAATTTGCATACTGATACTGGCGCGCTTTTCGAGCCTTTGCATTTTATCAGGGGCGGAAAAGTCGGGTTTGTTGACGTCTGTGAAGCTGGCGAAACCAAACGATAGTGAATATACACCACTATCACTATACAATTCAAACACTGTCAGTGTAAGTGGTAACATTAGCTCTGAGCTGCCTGCATAGTAAATAAGTAGGTGGAGGGTCAGGATACGCTGAGTTTCGTTTACTATTATTTCAATTCGAAGTAAATATGGATCAAGAATTTCAAACATATTTCCAATTTTACTAAACAATTATACATTGTAAATAGTTTGATCACCGCTTTTAGAAGTCCGCCGTAAGTCTGACATTCCTCACCTTAAGAATTAAAAGAAAAAGAAAGTTTAAAAAAGAAGAGGATATAGAATGATAGAAAAGAAAATGCAGAGCTGACGACGCCATAATAATAGCTGAAGATGAAGATGACCTACAAAAATTAATTCAAGATACGGCGCTCATATACAACAGAGAAAACTAAATCGATAGTGATATCAGCGGAACCGAGACGATGTAAACTGGTCGTAAATAACAAAATAATAGAACAAGTGATGGAAACGGAATACTTGGGAATCAAACTGTCACGCTATGTAAAAGAGGAAGAAGAAGTACAAGAACAAGAGGACATGGTGAACAGAGCAGCAGGATGTCTCAACAATACAACCTAGAGAAACAAATACCTCACAACGGAAACGAAAACTAGGATATATAAGTCAACAATAAGACCGATAATGACGTACACACCGGAAACAAGAGCAGATACGGCGAAAACACAAAGATTATTGGAAACAGCAGAAATGAAAGTCTTACCAAAAGAAAAATAGAATGGAATCAACACATAGAAAGAATGATTGAAAATAGAACAGTACGAATAGCAAGAGACAATTCGCCAAATGGAAGAAAATCACTGGGACGATCGAGGAAAAGATGGTCAGACAACATCGATGGAGGCTAAAAACCTAAAACAAGCATGAGCCTATTAATAAAGTAGGAAAAAGAAAAAGAAGAATTAATAGCCGCTATATTTTTTGCTTTGTAAAATGCATTGCAGATGCCTTATAATAAATGGATTTCGGTTATTTTCTTTAACATAACCAACACTATGACAGGTGTCCATGGGTTTTTCCATGAGTAGTTTCTAATGTACAGTTCGTACGCTATTTTATTTATTTTATTTTATTTTATTTTATTTTATTTCATTTCATTTTATTTCATTTTATTTTATTTTGTTTCGTTTCGTTTCGTTTCGTTTCGTTTCGTTTTATTTTATTTTATTTTATTTCATTTTATTTTATTTTATTTTATTCATTACAACACCGTACAGTAAATACCAATTACAGGGTGAGGAAACACAGAACATAACATTATGCTATTACAGTGTGTTGTGGATTTGGAACACGGTGCGTTATAGCTGTTTTATACAACATACAACAACGTTGCAATGCTGCCACGTGTACAGCGTAGCCCCAACTTGGATGTAAGAAGTATTGCTCTTAGCCAGAATAACAAACAAAATGTTCATGATTATCCTGTACCGTTCTTACATGTCAAATCCTCGGATATCATGGACTCGCTTAAGATAGACCCTCGCTACTGGCGGACTATTTTAAACCATTATTATGCGAGCTACAGGTATTTTGGTAGTTCCTCGAAGCAGATGCAATCATTTACGGCGGTTTGACTTCGCAGTTTCCATTCGAACTTGGTCACCAGTGTTATACTGTACTTATTAGAGCTATAAACATGTCGAAAAGTGCGAAACGTGCATTCACTTTACACGAAAAGTTCACAATAATTAGTGAGCTTGAGCAGGATTCATCTCAAGCAAATATATATGTGCTCGTATGGCTATAAAAAAATCACTGTGTCAAATATTTGGAAAAACCGTGACAAAATTAAAAATGACTAGAAATCAAATAGTCTAAAGAAAAAAATGCGGCTATCGTTGCATCCCCAAGTCGATGATATTCTGTTTAAATGGGTTCGACGGAAGCGTGCTAATAAGTCGACCTATGCTATAAATAAAAGCTGAAGAATTAAGAAAATTGATTGGAGATTACTTCAAATGTAGTTCTGGATGGCTTGACAGGTTTAAGAGACATAACACTGTTTTTGGAAAAATGTGTGGTGAGCCAGCTTCAGTTTATAAGAACGTTTTGCTCTAGGTCGATAACTGCCCAGCTCATC